AAAAAGTATGTCAACATCCTCCACCCGTTCGGCACTAACTGCCCCGGGCTCATGTTATGCTCGGTCAAGAGCGCGAGGAAAAAGGGGTGCAGTGGCCACCTAAATCCCCCCTTTAGAGAATCTTTGAAAATGACAAACTCTCCTTCCCGAGCAATAGCTACCCTATCCTCATCGCCAAGAGACCTAATATCACAGTTCGGCATCAGGCCGAACTCTCTAACAGTTGCCACTGCTAAGTGCTCCTTAAACCTACAAGGTGGTCGGGGTATACTAACGGGGTTGGGATATCCTGGGCTCGAGGATTAGCACTTATGGGGACGGCCATAGGTATTATTGACTGCCCTAAGTCCTCGGTTGGGGTTTCCGAACTCGAGGATGACGTATCGCTATCACTGCTCGACATCCTATCTTAAATATAGACTTTTCTAAAAAAAACAACTTAAAGTCTTGAGGACTCACCTTATCCCGACGATTCCGACAAGATTTACTGATAGTGAAAAAGTAAAAAATGAATAGGAAATGAGGCTTATATAGGGAAACATGGGTGGGAGGCCAAAGGCCGCATCATGAACCGTTCGATCATGCCACATGTCCTACATCCCACGGTCTAAAAATTACACCGCCTTTCTACTAGGGCTGGCGTCATTACCACATCTGACGTCAGCCCTCAGGAGTCCTTCCTCAGCAATGAATCGTCGAAGATGTTATACCGAGGACTGTAATTTGGACCTTTTGCACCTATCCTCATGCATATAATCGAGCACAGGTGCACGGGGGCCAGTGATATAACCAAGTATTTGTCCCGACGTATTTATCCCGAGGACTCTATTTCGTCGATATGTTTACCAATATGCTCGGGACATATGTGCTCGGGTATCTCCATATGCCCGAGCTATTAGCCCCAAGAATTATTCGACAATCATTCGACATGTCCTCGGGATTATGTCCTCGGGATTATGACCTACGTCAACGCCTTATCCAACGAGAAATTTGTTCTGACTAAAAATCCTCAACTCATGTCTCCTATGCCCAGAAGAACTCTATTGGTATCACAGTTATACCGCAATTCAAACTCCTATCTCGCGTAGGACTCATTGGGATAAGATTGCAAAATCAAGCTGTCCTACTACAGGTGCACTACGGAATCCTAGTATGAACACACCACCTACCTCTATAAATACAGAACCTTGAGCCATTATTCAGGTACGTTTTTCATTGTTCTCCAGCACATAGCCTCACGCACAAAATTTCCTTTCTGACTTAAGCATCGGAGGGGCGACGAGAACACACCTCGTTGCCTTTATTTCAGGTACCGGAAAATCACGTTCGTGCTCCTTATCAGTCATCAAGCTCGGGAAATCTACAGGTACGATTTTTGGTAGCATCAGTTAGCATATAAAACAAAATCAATTGGATAATAACTACTTGAGAAATTGGAAAATTACCTTCACTCTCTTGACTTAAAGTTTGAGAAAGAGCACTAGAGAGATGGATCCTCCAGTAGGGTTCTTGGAGGAGCTTGGTATGAGAAATAGATGGGTATTTGTATGTTGGGTAGGTTTCATGTGATTTTATTAACTGTTTTAATTTGAGAAATTTTTAAGTTCATTTTCCTTGTTTCGAGTTTTATGAGTATTTTCAGAAAGCCAAAAACTCATTTTGAGTTTTTTTTTGTAAAATTTTACTTATTTTCAAAAATACCAAATACGTTTTAAGTGTTTTAAAAAATTGAAAATTGATAATGACCTGAAAACGGCAAATCAAATGCATATTAACCTTTTTTACATGTGATGGAAGGTCTTGCATATGTGCATTCTCAATTTGAGACTAAGAATCCCCAAATACGATTTTTGATAACATCACTAATCAAACTAGATTTAAATTTCCAGTGCTTTTAAATTCTTGATCTGGTAACTATTCGATTTTATTGTGTGCATAATTGAAAATAAGCATATATATATATATATAAAAAAAAGGGTTTTAATATAATGGTTGTCAACAGAGGCTTAGCATTTTGCCTAAAAATCAATTACATGGGTAACATTTTTCTCAGGTTGACCCAGACCGACTTTATTTGACATCAAAATAGACCAAATGGCAAAGTTTTTTATGATGTCATAGATGAATGAGGGCTTCCTAAGGCGCAAAAAAAGCTTTTCATTAATGACGTGACAAGATAACTTTAATTATAACTCTATGAATTTATGATTGTTTTAGAGAACCACAATTTATCGTTCTCTTATCGCGTCAGTAGTGGGAACTTTTTAACTCGTTTATAGGAGGCAAAAGATCGAGCTTAATTATTTCATTCAAATTGATAATTAGCTTAGTAATGTTGTGTATTACCATTTTTGCAATCGAAGAAATTATCAATATAATTTCTTCAGTTATACCAAGTGCTTGATATAATAAGAGAAGTTATATCAAGTGCTCAATCTATTTAGCTGCTCGATGCTTCATGAAATTCCAACCATTATTCGCTCCTATCAAGCATATGGTCAATAACACAAACTTCATATAGATCTAATCATACGTTACTGGTAAAAAATCAAAGAATAGTAGGATTAAAGGAAGATTTCTTGTTTGATAATTTATTAAAAGTGGTCGATTTGAATGTTGGATACCAATTTTATTTGAAAAATACAACTTAATTGTGATGTTGGCTGACAAGAAGGCAATGCTGATCACAGAATCAGAAATCCTCAAGAAACTGGCTTCAATATATACATCTTGCATGCATGAGAATCCACTGTTGCTGTCAAATTTCCAATAAATTTTGTTTCCAGACTCTTGTGCTGTATAGTGCATCCAGCCAAAGCACAAGGGAATATCAGTAAGTATATATGTATGCATGCATATCATTTTATGCATGTGCATGTATTTTGTTGTTGTGGGGTGGGGGGGGGGGGGTGTGTTACCTTCCAAAGGTCTCTTGCAATAACTGCAGTGTTTGGAGGGAGCCCAATATCATCCCAGTGAGCAATAATGGAATTTCGCCCAGCACCACGGTTCAACAGAACTACAGCCACTCTGTAGTTTGAAAGCGGTCCAGCCCACACCTATATATTAAAAGAAAAAAGCACATAATATCATGAATTTGTAATATGAAAAGACAAAAACTGCGATGAAAAATGCAGGATTACCTCAAGATCACCTTCCATCCTAACCTTTTTAGCCTGAACACCTAGCTTGTCTGTTTTAAACCAACTACCAGATTGTAAGTATTTGGAAAATGGCAATTCAAAATAAGTTTAGATGGCAGTAGATGTAGTTACCTTGATTCACAGCAATCACCTCCTTATTTGCAATGATTTCCATAACTTCTTTCGTTGTATTTCTCACGTCACAACCAATAAGAAGAGGTGCCTGTAGTTATATTACATGAAATATAATATCAGAGAGCATAATTAAGCCAATTATGAGAGGTAAACTTCAAGGGTATGTTTGGCACGAGGACTGCATAGTAATTTTAGCTTCGTTCTCTGCTTTCATAATGTCTAGTACTATTCAATCCACCTTAACAAACATGCCATATGTGTGGTATACGGAGAACCTTGGAAATAGCCCATATGCTAAAGTGAACAATGTATTCGTCTTTTGTCATCCCCCCATTTCCAACTTCAAGCATGTCGGGATCTGTTCAAAGCCATGCCATGAGAGTATTGAGCTTCTGATAAGTAAGCCATACAAGTTGTAAGTTCTGACTAGAGGCAAAACTAACCATTCCAGCCACCGGGCCTCGCCAGATCTGCATAGACTTCATTCTGATCTGCTCTTGAGACCATACTGCAGGAGAAATAATGTTTAAAATTAAAATCAGTTCCAAGTTCTCAGGTATACAATGAATTATGAAAAACAAAATTCTAAGAGAGAGTACCTATCCCAGTTATCTGAGATATCATTAGTAGTTCTCCAGCTATTTCCTACATTATAACCCCACAAAGCCGGGTGCAGATCGCCCCTGATACAAGCACAGGAAATCATGTCGAAATCCAGATTGTGTAAAGCCAAGTACATGAAACTATAATAATATAAAAAGAGAATCACCATTCACATAGAGAGAAGAAGATTGGTCGGCCTGAATTCATTAATGCTCGGGTCATCACGGGGTACCTATGCAAGGAAAAATAGTCACAGAACCTTCGTTTCAGAACAACTGAACCTAACCAGAAAGCAAGACATTATTGTCTGAATGATTGTAGAAATCAGTTTGGTACCGTTGAGTTGGCTTTGAGAAATCATTATTACAATTGTCATACTTCAAGTAATCTATGCCCTGTAGAGTAGAGAAAGCAAGTAATTAACTCAGTTTTGTTAGCACTGTGAAAGGAAGACCACTGATGGCTGCTTCCAGTGAAGTAGAAAATTTATACTCTCCCAACACTTCTTGAACTAAAACATAGAACATTTATTGGTCCATAGTATTGGGCAGTACTTTATAAGACAATGGACAAAATTTTAAATCCTTTCTATTCTCTAATGCTATCAAGCACTGCCTAATCTAGCACACCAAACATGTAGTAACTACCGTACCCATGACGCAAAGGTTTTGGCATCTTGTTCCTCATGACCAAGCGAACCGGGCTGTTTTTTGCTACAAGTGTAATAGCTGCAAGTCAAAGTAAATGCATTTATAAATGGAACTCCCGCTATTATGCATTTGTGTATGACTTCAAATCATGTATCAGCAGATCCAAATTACCCTGCATCTGAGTAAATTCCTAGCTTAAGACCCTTGCTGTGGACATAGTCCGCGAGAGCTTTAATTCCAGATGGGAATGTGGATTTCTTAGCCACTAGACGACCCTGATATCGAATTTTACAGAAAAGATGTAAGAAAACAAATAACACGACTGCCCAAAAGTTATTAAATGAACATTACAGAACTTCGAAAAAGCAAACCTTGTTGTCACGAGAACTTTCAGCCCAACAATCATCTAAGGGAAAAGATTTAGAGATATCAATTAGTCTCTAATTCTTCATGTCCATTCAGTAAGAATGCACCACAAAGCATAAAAATAAAAAGTTAGAGGTGAAATTGTACCAATGTTGACATATATGTATCCAAGCTTAGAAAGACCAGTTGAAACCAGAGCATCAGCTGTCAAGAATAATTAAAATTAAAGTAGAATTGAAAACAAAAGTGACATAAATCTTCAAATGCGCAGATTTTATTTCTAAATCTATTGACGATGACCAGTTAATACATAACATGCCAAAAGTTATTAGTAAAATGATAAAGCAAAATTACAAGTTTTTGCATCATTTTTGCACATCTTAATGGTATTCATTATTACAGAAAGCAAGGAGGTAAACTGAATGATAATAATAAGGAGTTACCAGTTTCTTTGATGGTTTTTTCACCAATATTGCAGGCGAAATGATTCCAACTGTTCCACCTAAATAAAGTACGACAAATCAATGTTCAATACAGATGGACAAGTATTCCAAAAGTTTTCTCTACGAGCTATACATATACAGAGACCAATACACATCCATCAAACCCTTTGGCCCTTATTGAAGTGAAAAATCTAAAAGATGAGAAGAAAAATCCTATAGTCTTCAAATAAGTTTGAAATAAAGAGATAGGATCGAACTAAAACCAGAAAGCTAAAAATTCACATATTATTAAGTTCATTAATGTGGATTTAATTCTCCAGTGCTGATCTTTCTTACTTCATTTACCAATTCGAAAAGAAGCGTAATATACTACTGGAAAAAACCAAAAAACACCGACGATGACAATAACCTCTAAATTGCTCAATTTGGCATATGGCTTTACTCCAATAAGAAGCAATAATAAACCCGGACTATACATATGACAAATCGGTGGAAAAAATTTACCCCATGGGAGGAGTGGAGCCAAGTCCATTGGAAAGAAGATTGCGTCTGGTGAGCAAATCTTCCATATTTTCCGCAGTAGACAGCCGCATTATCATGCTTTTGGACGCACAACAATTACTACTAAAACTACCGATTAGCAATAAACATATTAACCATCTCAATCTACTCTCCATAATTGACACTCTTCTTGCTCACACAGTAGTGAGTTGTGGATGAATGCAAATAGCATCAGAGATGATTATATATTCATGGCGTGGATAAGAAACTTAGGAATTATGGTTGTTTTGGCTAAGCATAAAACATGGGGTAAAAAATCCTGAATGGTAAAATCGAAAGGATAAAGGGCAAACCATTTTTTTCGAGAAGAAACTTTTTTCTGGAATAGTTAAAAGTTGAGTTAATGAATTTATAAATTTTTTTATTAATTTTAAAATTGTTTTATAGCAATATAAGTGAACTTTTAAGATTCTCTCATATGTTTGTTTGAAAAGTTAATTTATTTGCAACGTCATCAAAACTATTAATTTTTAAATAAAAGGAGAAAGATGAAAAATAATGTTCAAGTAGGATAATTATTTAATTTCTTTTAAAATTAAGTGACTACTAAAAAAATAGGGAAAATTGCAGCTAAGGTACCAAACCTTTCGTTTATTAGTAGATTTTGCCTAAACCTTTAGTTTGTGTCGTCCACGACACCAAATCTTTCAAAAACTCACAATAGAAGTCCAAATGGATGGAAATTGTTAATTTGATCGTTAGTTGACCAAAAATTTAACATTGACCATTATTTTGACTAATTTTAAAAGAATAAAATGGTAAATTTACATTTTTCAACAAAAAAAAAAAGTAATTACGGTATATTAATAATTAAATCAAAACACAAAATACTATTCATCTTCTTCTCCATTCACCCCCTACGCACCCACCACACACCACCAAACCATCCGCACAAGCAACACCCACAGATTCTTTATCTCCTTCAACCCACCCCTCACCTCACCTCACCCAACCACATTGAGCAATAACACCACCAACCCCAGCCACACAGTCCACCGACTCTGGCCGCAGATCGCATTTAGCCACCACACACCACCAAACCATCTACACAAGCACCACCCACATTTGTCTACCCTGTTATAGTCCTCCACGCGTAAGTTTAATCAAGAGCCCTAAAGAGAAAAATATCAAATTAGGAGAAGGCGATGAAGATTCGGTGTGCACAATGCTCTGCCCATTTTTCTATTTCAAATCTCATACATGAATACTCGTCTTTAGCACCAAGAATCATTGTTGAGTTCCATTTTTTTGTTATCTTTTGCTCAGATTTTCAACGATGCTGCTGGCTGTGGAATGGGAATGGGAGTCGAGTTTTCACAACTGTGTAATTTAGCTCTGGGATTGTCGAATGGGCACTGCAATTGAGCTTTGACGTCATTGGTCGTGTCGGAGGTCCATCAACTGCGTTTGAAAATGAGGATTTTGGGTTTGAGTTCGGAGTGAAGCAGCAACGATTGTAGTTAATGGGGAGATGAAATTTTGGATTCGAATGTGATTTTTCTATTTGGTAATGAAGATGGTGGCTGTAGATTTGGTGGTGGCGGCAGTCGTCTCAGTGATGGTGGTGGACGATCGTGGTGGTTTTAGGTTAGGCGTTAGTTTGAATTACGATCACTGTAGCTTGTAGGATTTTTTATTTTTATTTTTATTTTTTGAATTAATATTTTAATTCTTTAATGTGAGAAAATTGTATAGTTACCACTTTGCCCTTTTTAATTTGGTCAAAGTTGATCAAACTTTGACATTTTTTGGTCAATTAACGGTCAAATTAATAGTTTTCATCCATTTGGATTTCCACTGCTAGTTTTTGAAAGGTTTGGTATCGTGAGTGACACAAACTAAATGTTTGGGCAAAGTCTGCTAATAAACGAAAGATTTAATACCTCGACTGCAATTTTCCCAAAAAAATATTGAAAATATATTGTCTTCGTTGAGATTTTTGACCCCACACGACAAAGTCAAAAGTTACAAGGTTACTTTTTAAAATGTAAATTTTTGAATTTAAAATAACAATTTTCTTTGTCATCTAAAGGTTTTTTTTTTCTGGTAAATATGTTTAGAAAAACAAAAGATTACTTTAAATTTTGTACTCAATTTGTTTTATTAAGTTTAAAATATTTTTTTTTAATTAAAAAAAATCATCCTTACCTTCAAGAAAGTTCGAACTTAGGTCTATGATCCTGGCTTTTACTAGTTTTAAATACTTTTACTTGCTTTCATTTAGGCCAAATTTAGCCCTCATTTGATTTTGATTTTTCAAGTCAAAAAATCAATTTTTTTAGTCAAAACATCAATTTTTTTATCGTTACTTAACACAATCAGTCTTCATTTTTATCCTATTCACTTATAGGTGAGATCTACCTTTCAAGTTAATGGTCAAAAAATTAATTATTATAATCAACACCAAACTGACTTTTAATTGTATCTTTACTATTTTAAGCATATATTATGAGTGTGTTTCATGGGCATTTAATATCTAAATAGAATTTTTTTGCTGGGTGGAAATACTACTCACAGTGTTAAAATATTGAGTACATGAATGCCACAAATGAAAAGGTTAAAACATAATTGTCATACTTATAAAAGATTTGGGACCCTATAAAGAATCTACACAACATTATAAATTTACTTTTAAAAATTTAAAAATTTTGAATTAAACTTTACTTTATTCTGACAAACATGTGTATTGTATAAAAATGGTTACTTTGACCCCTATTTGACAAAGTTTTTTGATATTATAAGTTAGTATATTCAGTGTCACAGTTTGAGATCCATTAAAATTAGATGATTGGGGAGGGTTATTTCTGTAAATTGATTTTGAATAGTGAGGGTGTTTTCGTACAAGGTTTAAACCATTTGTACAAAAAATGGACTTCACCAAATTGCTACAGACACTTACATCCATAAGAACCACCACCCCCTATTGTGTCTATTATGTGGCACTTCTGTAATCCCATTTTCTGTACATATAAAATGTTTCTTCATACAAATGGGTTTCAACGTGTTCTGTCAAAATTAAAATGCTTGATAGCACTT